AGAGTAAACTAATATACATTCTTGCTGTGAGCATTTCTTAACAAGAGATACTGAATCCAAGATCTTTCTTATGGCTAATATTTAACCAAGCTTTGTGTTCTGTGTGCATGTAGTTTTTTAAGCCCTTATGTTTGTTTACTGTAAAAAATTTTACCTTAGGTTTATGATATATTGCAGTTGTCTCCACAGTCTGTCAGACCTCTAAATATACCAAAATCAAGTCCAAAGATTGTGGGGTTTGCCACAATTTGATTTTACAAAATACTGCATAGAATCCTTATAATCTGAAGTCACAGCACAACTAAAATTTAAAGTCCTTGATTCAAATATTTTAGCATTTAACATTGTTTTATTGAATACTAAAATAAATAAATAAATAATTCAGACTTCATGGGATCTCGGCCAAAACAAATTATAAGTAGAATAATCAGTGCTAGTCTGGATGGTACTGAAGAAGCATGTTGGTATTGATTTCTCAAGACAGCAATTATAAACAAAAGCCAAGAAGTACACAATGCTTTTCAGTGCCCTCAAAGTTAGGATAATTTCAAACTTTAATGTCTAAGTTTCAACTGAGAATTTATTCAATCTTGGAGGGTTAATGTTAAAATGTTTGAGTTGTACCAGCTATAGTAGCGAGCACCTAAAATCAAATTCAACGAATTGAGGGAAGAAGATTGTGTGCTTACTTACAGCCTGAGTCACATGGCAGGGCCATTTCTCAAGACAAATAAACAAGAAACTTGAGATGCAAATACTTGAGAGCATCTACCTACCTATCTCTATATATCTACATATCTTTTACTTTTTGTACCAAATGAGTCTGACTACTACTTCTGTAACTAAAGGACATAATCAGCCCTCACGCCTGCTATAGTGAGATGCTGCTCTGGTTTTATTTTTTTTTTTTTTTAAATACGCTCTCACGTTTCCTTTAGGATAAACATGAAGCAAAGTTTGAAGCAAAGTAAAGTTTGAACTTTGAATGCCAAGCTTTAGAATCAGGTATGTCTTGGTTAATTTTTCATCACCTGAGCTTGGTAAATTTACCTTAAACATAACCAGAGCAAAAGTCTTATTACTCTATAGGCATGGACAATTTATAGAATAATGTTGAATGAGTATATAAATTGACCAGTCAAAATCTGGATTAGAGTGGCTAGATGACAAGGTGGTAGACTAAAAAGATAAAACACAAAGATGAAGTAGACCATATAACTATGGAACAGATGAGGTCAAGCAGCTGCTCTTATCTGTAAGTTAGGAGCTTTCACAAAGAGGTATGTCTAACTTATCTCCAATAATACAAGCTTGCTTCTTTTTACACAGTTCTTTCATTGGCAACAATACACGTGCAATCAATACAGGTATTCATGACAAACAATACCCAAAGGAATCCTTCTCTGTTTTACCAAGTCCATGTGATCATTCTGTTACTGATTTCACTGAGGTGTCTGACATTACTGCATAGACCTCCTTGCCATATTCACACACTCTGCCCTTCCTAGGGTTCAGTTTTACCATAGGCCAAAAACATTTTAGAAGCATACCTAAAAAAATACACATTTGTGATCATTATACATGTGAGAGACAGTAATCCCTTACACACATCATTATTTAACTGTCATTTTAAAGCAAGAGTTTAATATATTTCATGTTGCATTTTTGAATTTTCTGATCCAATGGTATTTCAGTTTGGCAAAGAAAGAGAAGGAACTGAAAATGTCTGACTAAACATTGCCATTTGGCTTGCCATGAAGTTTTCATGGCATTCCATGAGGTAATCACTTGTTATTTGTCAAATGTAGCAAGGATAGGGATACCCCAATAATCACTCCAACTTAATATTCATATATATCTATATTGTGGCTGTGTTCACAGTAGGAAACACATGAGTAGATCTTAAAGAGGGAATGTTTTCCTTCACCCTCAGTATTTCTTTAGAAGGGAAAGAATAAAAGGGGAAGAGATAAAGCTTACTTGAAAGCTTTATTTCCCATGGCGTATTAAGTGTTTACAAAATTAAGAACAGCTTAGAAATCTTGGACTGGTCTTGCTTGAAATGAGGACTGAAAGCAAGATACAAACAGCATAGACATATCCATTGAAAACACTGTAGTGATGGTATACAATTGAATAACAATAAAAAGTATTGTTTATATATATAAAATATTTCCCAGATACCAAAAGACCAAATAAAAATCCCTCCCCACCTGCTGTGTTCCTAGGTATACTATATATTCAATTGGGAAAGGTGTCTTAGCACTTAATCTCAAGTTCACAGGGCAGGAATTGAAGATCACCCGACATGTTCACACACACATTAGGACTCGTGATTTCCTATAGCACCATGTGGGAAGATAGGGGTTTGGCAATGGCAACAAGTGTTGAATGTATTCCATTGGAGACCTGGTGTAACTGTCAGACTCAATGTTGGAAATCGGGGCCCTTCTAAAATTGTAGTTCTTCTTCCCATAACTGGGGGGATGGTATTCTGAAATCTGTATGGGTCTCTATTCTTTTTAGTCTCTGTGTTATCTAACTACTTTGTGAAGTCCCAAAAGTGGCACTGCTCTATATCTATTCTATTGACACTTAAAACGTGATGTGAATCTTTGGGTTTGTGATGAATTGACCTTAAGATACTGGGATGGAGTCTGAAAGATAGTATTTAATATATATGGGAAGAAAACAGACCTAGACACTAACTCTCCTGCATCATTTCTACTCTTCCTTAGTAATGTAAGATTGACTGATCATATTTTGAACAACAGCATTTCACAATAGCTATGAGTAACTTAAAACAGCATTGAATATTAAAAATTACATACTAGAATATGACTTAAATAAAAAAAAGAGTGATATTCAGTCTCCGGTTAGTGATGAATATGGAACTTATTTAATTATTAATAACTGTTTCCATAATAAAGACAAGAGAAATATAGCAAATTTAAAAGCTTGGTGTAGAAACTATCATATCCTTGTAAGAACATAAGCTTGAAGAACAAAGCAATGATCAGGTAAATGTAGAGAGCCTCAGTGCTGTCTGAACGTGGCACTTGTTGGCTGGTGACCTAAGAGGTCCCCTTTTAGATTAAATGCTTTGTAGGAATACTTCCTGTTCCAAAGGAGATAAAGACCACAGAAACTACTAGCTATTTCTATGGAGGAGTTGGTCTTGAGTGTTTAAAAAGTAGCAATAACTGTAAACTTTCTATAATATGGCCAATGGATGTGGATGATACTCCTTTTCTTCAGAATGTGGGGAAAGGGTTTGGAGAATAATCATATGGTATAAAATCCTTCCTTTATTTAAATAAGATGTTGTATTGAGATTTGTTCTGTTGACCTTACATTTTGGTATAAAGGGCACATTAAAATAACTTTAGTTGCTCAGAATACCTGCCCTCCTAGGTAGATGAATGGATCATTTAGACAAACATTAGGTAACATTTAAAGGAAAAACTAAAACATGCAAAAAAACAAATTAAAAAATTAAAAGACAAACAAATTTGACTTCAATAGACCAGCATAACCTCACAGTTGTTTGATACTTGGGATAAATAACAAAATAATGTACAAGCGGATGCTCAACCTTCAGGGTTTTGTAGACCTACTAATACCTTCTATGATTTTCTTAAATAGAAAATATTCTCAAATGAAAACAAAATTGAGTGAGAAGACATTAAAAATCTGTTGTTTTTGAAGACACTAACAATGTAACTGCCAAACTATAATCCAACTAATGGTGCCACAAAACTTTTGTCAGATAAAATGTAGTTTCCATCAATGAGTTTTCAACTTAGGAAAACTCAGATTCCTATTAAGCATCTTTGATTTGTTTTTCAAAGCTTTTTCTTTTCCCTAGATGGTATTCTATCTGTTATCAATCAACATCCACAGATAACAACTTGCAAAGTATTTAGCAGAAATAACTTACCTTAAGTAAGACTTATATGTTTTATCTCTTTGAGACCAAGACTTATATGTTTTATCTGTTTGAGACCAGGCTTTGAAGTTTTAACCAAGCTTTCCCAAAACTACAGTAAAAGCAATCTTTTGTGTACTTTCAAATACTGTGCCTTTTTATTTAAACAGTGTAAATATAACAACACCACCAATAATCAGATAAAGACTGGGTATGTGAACACTAGTTTCCTTGAATGCCCCATGAAAATAAGGGAAAATAAAACAGACACATCTTCAGGAGGTTTTCAGTTCACCTTAGCAGTGGTAAAAATATTGCTTTATTCCAAATGAACATACAACACAATTTACTGTTAGGGGGCATTGCTTGTGAACTGAATAGTTTGGGATTTGTGGATTTTCAACAATTTCTTCCTTCCATGTTAACCAGAGAAGCCAGTGCCTCTTCTGTCTCTACAGAGCAGACTTGCTGTAAAATAGCAATGAGGATGACAAGAAATAAAGTAGTCAACTGTCAATTTGATAATTGGCTTGTGTCAGTAATTTAAGTAAATGATTCAAAATAAACACTCCATTAATTTTCTTTGTGATACTGATATCAATAAGCAAAAGACTGCTCTTGTCAATAGTATTCACATCAAAAAAATGGTCTAGACATTGCCAAGAGTTTTTTTTTTATAAGACCCCACCATGCAAGTAATCTTGGTTTAAGAACTCACTAACCAAATTTATAATTAATGGAAAATTTTAAAGTGAAAAGATCTAAGAGGGAAAAATTTCTTTTGAATATTAGATTCCCTGATGGTTCAGAACAAATTTTAGCAAGCTTTAATATGCACACACATGCACACACATACATACAAGGAACACATGTGCTTAGGTGAGCAGGCCCACACACTCAGATGCTCACACCTGTGCACACAGGTATACACACACACACACACACACACACACACACACACACACTGAAAGATGTCCTTTCAGAGCTTCTAAACACTCTCCAAAAAAATGAAAATAAAAACCAAACATTTCTATTAGCATGATTTTAGTGGCACAACTTTATAATTTTTTTGTCTCTTTTTCTATCATAATTTTGCACCTTCCTGTGAGGTTCTGTGCTTTCAAATTACAAAGAAAGATGGCACATGAGAGTAGCTAAGATCATCCAGTTTACTCCTACTTTCCACCTTTCTTCCTGTTTGTGTTTTCCTGCCATTCTTTACAAATCAAATACAAATCACTACATTCCTTGACATGACATAAACTGTGGTGAGAGCATTGATGAATAGAAATTTAGGGGTTGGGATTCAAGAGCCAAATGGCCATGGCTACCTACCCATTGGCATGTCCACCCTTGGGATATAGCTCATCTCTTTGAAGCTAGGTGAATACCAGTTTCTTTTCTATACAACCACTGGCACTATGAGACCAGAGGTTGGAATTGGACAAATCTTCAAAGAGCCAAAGAGGACAGTGTTGGGACTAACTGAAATTGGACTCATAATCCTCTGCAAAAGCTTTAATGGCAAGCTTTCTCCTTCCTGAAACACTTCTTTCCCTTTAAAAAAATATTTTGTTAAAAAACACTATGATATGAGGGCGGCAGACTATTTGGTTTTTTCCTAAGTAGATGCTCTTAAATTAATGCATATAAATAATTTGTATTTAATTTCCTCTCTTTCCTGTTGAGCAAAGCAGAGAACGCACAGATTCCTACATCTCGAGTCACTTGGTTAACACAGAGTCTCTTTGTATTTCATTTCTTAAGACAAATTGTGCCTCTCGTTCTGATTTGGCCGTGGGACTCAGGGGAAGAAAGGCTGTGTTTTCGCTTGCACTGTCCTCTGTTTCCACGCTGGCCAGTTCGTACTCTTCCGACCGTCTGGCATCAGTCAGAATCCGGATCTGTTCCTGAACAGTCTCTAGTAATATCTTCACTTCCTGTTGTTCTTCTAGGAGACGATCGCTGACTGGAATACTCGCATTGACAATGTCAGCGGAGTAGGAGTTTTTGCACCATTTAATGCTTTTGACTTCAGAAATCCCTGGCATTTGCATGCAGGTTTCTTCTAGACCCATTGAAGGGATGATGGGCACGGAGTTGGCCCTTGGGGATGAATAACCCACCATGTCCTTTTGATCCAAGCTATTAAAATAGGGGTTTGTTTCTCTTGAAGGCAGTTGCATATTTATTGATGCATTTTGTTGGGTTCTTAAGCCATCGGACACATACCTGTAAAAGATGAACAGAGTCATATCTGGTCCCCACTGTGCCTCAGTACCATACCATCCAAAAAGTTCTTTACACATGCACGATCTCACTGACTTCTCACAGCAACCCCATGAGACGGATACTATGCTCCCACGGACAAAGAAGTCAATTGAAATTCAGATCAGTGAAGTGACTTGCCCAAGGTCACACAGAAAAATAAGTGACAGACTGAGACTCAAACCCAGATCTTCTTACTTTAAGTCCAGGGGTCTTTCAACACACCACAGCTGTATAGGCAGGTGGGATATAGTCTTCCTGACCTCTATCCTAGAATACAAAGTAAATGGGGATTGAGCACGTAAGTGTGGCCTTTTCCATCGTGACAAACAGGACATCACCATGGCATTACTTCACTCATAACTCACCCACCCTCTCAGCCCTGGTCTGTCTGATCATTCACTGGTGTGGTCCCCATAATTGGGAGCCTTTGGGAAGCTCATTATTGACCATCAAGGGGTGGCAATCCTCACAGCTTCTGCTTAAATATGGAGTATAAATTGAACTGCTGTTGGCAGTTTGCCCTTTGGATAGTTTGCCCTAGTGCTTGCTGGTGACTTCCTTCCTTTGATCTTTCCAGTGTCTGGAGTAGAGCAAGATGTCTCAGACTTTATAGAAAGGTATTGAGGCTCTGAATGATAGATTTTGTCCTACTTCTTAGTGAGTTATCTTTAAATAGTAAACATTAATTTGTAAACTTAAAGTTAAATATATCTGCTTTCCATGTAATAGTTTAATTTTCTTGACTTATATTGTAATGTAAATAAAAATTGTTTTTTTAATATGTGTAAAGAATAGTCACAAGGCCCTCTGAATGTGGGCGACAGCAGTGTGGCTTGGTCTGTTTGTGGGACCCATGGCAGTGGAACCAAGATTTATCCTTGGTGCATAACTGGCTCTTTGGAGACCATTCCCTAAGATGAAATACCTTGTTCAACCTTGATGCAGTGGGGAGGGACAAGGTCCTGCCTCACCTGGATATTCCAGGCTTAGTTGACTCCCCATGGAAGGTCATATCCAATCTGAGGAATGGGCAAGGAGGTGAGGGGGAGAGAAGAAAGGAGGGAGGGGGAACTATGGTTGATATGTAAAATGAATAAAATTTAATAGAGAAGAAAAAAGTGACTTTTTTTTCAGCTACATGCAGGGAATTATACTGAAAAAGAAAACGAATAGTTGCAATGAAATGTATTGTGTAGCTGCAAAGAAGTCTCCACTGGAAGGTCACATTGGGAACAGTTTCACGAAAACTAAGTAAAGAGAAATGAATAGTACTTGTGTTTTTTCTTATTGTATCCAGAATAGAGTTGGTCACCAATAAACCTTGATGTAATGAACACATTAATGAATGACTATATCTCCAAGGAAAGTATTCTTTTATAGTTCATTAATTACACAGTGACTTGAAATATTTACACAGTGACTTGAAAAAAAAACACTTTTTTTTCTAATTACCTCATAAAACATTTTTAGTTTATTATTCTTATGTGATAAATGAGTGGAGAATTCCAATGGGGCATTCAAATGACCTGCCCAAAGTTACACCTTTACATAAGCAATTGAAGGAGGATTCAAAGGTATGTACAATTGTCTCTAAGAAAATCAGAACCAGCTAGTGAAGGGACATCCTAAGGTGAAGTATATTATAACAGTCTTTTATGCAGCCATTCATAAGGAAATTCTTTGTGGGATCATACCCCTGTGACTCATTTGACAGAAAATCAGATCCTGAAGGTCTGATTCATGAATCAATTCCAATAATAAGAAAGAGCAAACCTCGGGCTGTTTTGTTTATTCTTTGAAACCATACTTCCACAAGGTAGAAATGTACATAAAATATGCCTTCCAGATAGTTACATATAGAAAAGAGCTGAGTAATATGATTGGAATAGAACTGTACCTACACCAGTGTCTTCAACGTAGATCTACGGATAGAATATAATAAGCTGTAATATGATGATGACTACCTTAGAGGGTGTTTATATACAATTGCTGCCATGACTCAGCAATGTGGCATGGCCAAGCACAACGGCCATTAATGCCAAACTTCAAATATCCACCTATTCAACCTGATACTGAATTAAGGAATTAAATGAGATAGAGGAATTGAAATGAACTATCCCGTGTCATTCCTAAGCCATCTACTGGACATATAACTGGCAATGACTAAAATATAAACTCTTGTTACAGCATGAAGATGTCACAAAAGAATAATAGTTCTTCAGGGTTGATTGAAGTTTGAATAAGACACCACACCCTTACATGATTCGAACTCTCAGACAAATGGTAGCTCGTTTGAATTTTCTAAATTCTTAAAACATATAGGAGCTGGTGGTAAAAATTAGTGGAAGTATAATCTTAGTGTAAAACAAGCCTGAATTCAGACCACAACCAGCAAAATAGAATCTCTCATACTACTTGGATACTTGGGAGATGGTGATTCTGTGAGGTTTACGTTACAGCAGTAAGGTTTAAGTCAAACAAACAATTGTGCCATACTCTTGCACCAGAGGCAAGTGTCACCCTCACTTCTTCCCTGAGGTTGCTGTGAGGGGTTCCAACTCTGACACTTCAGCAAATATTTAAGCAGAATCTAAATTTCTAGATGTGATTGTAAACATAGAAGCTATTCAGAGTTCCGTATTCCTGGGATTGCAACAACGCTTTGACTTTTAAGAACTGAAATTATTCACTGACTGTTATATCCAGTTTGGACGGTACTCCCTGCCTTCCCTGGGAGAGCAAGTGCATCAAGAAAGATTTGCAATAATTTGTGTCTGTTTGATTTATGGTAAGCCAGGAGTCAAGCCAGGGTCTTTGTTCCTCTACTTGACTCTTTAGACACAATTCCTGAGTTATATAGTTATATAATAGTATATAGGTAATTAGTAGATATACAGAAAGGACTACCCATACAATCAGCTATTCCATTTGTCATTGTCAGCCATTGGTGTAATTTTAGCACATCCACTTCTTGATTTTGTAGCTGATTTGGTAAGAAAGCTAATACACAATCTTTCTCTCTTCTCATAGTATGACCAATACCACACTGAGATGGCCATTTAAACTTTCCTATCCTTGCAGTTTTCACCAATAACACCTTCAAAAAGTGTAAAAAGCAAGGTGTGTCAGGTTGCTAGCTAGATGATGTGGGAATTCATTCAAAATCTTTTGGATCATGACCAGTTTGAGGCTGTTAACCTGACTTTACTGAATCTATTTCTTCTTATTAGCTTGCAATGTATCAGTTAGTTGGCCTGACACATACCAGTCCAATGTTTGGGCTGACACTGCCCAGAGCTACAGTCAGAGAAAGGTATCCTCAATCCGCTATCTACCCCATTCTAAAAGTTCTGTTACACTAGGGTAGGTGAGGTATTCAAGTTGGACAGACTACCAAGTAAAAAAGCCACATACATGAAGTCTAGTTAACAGATACCAACCACATGTTTGGTAAGCAGGAACAGATGGCTGGTGGGTCTTACAAATTGATTCACTCCAATTTCAGGGTAAGGGCAGATTTGAAGAATGCTAGCTGTGAAATTCTATTATCAACCCCATTTCCAGTCCTGAGGGACAGTCAGTCCCCCAGGAGTGGAAAATAGCTTTTTATAAGAGTTAAGGATGAGATTACCTCCTAACATTTATTGTGCTAAAGTCAGAGTGACTTATAGCGTCAACATTTATCAACATTGGGTGCATATGACACCGAGAAAAGGCATGTGGCCAGCCAGCAACACAGATGATTGCCAATCCGGTGGTGACTTGAGCCAACACAAAATTACAACGATGCTGATCCAGGAGGGAAAAGACAAGGCTGAAAATGAAAACCTCTGAGCCCTGGAAGGTCTGTGAATCTGTCATTCAAACAACAACTTGCCATAGGTTCTGAGCCTCCTTTCATCAGAAACATTGAGTTGAGAGCCCTTATGGCCAAGAGCAAAAAATTACAATACAAGATGGTTTTTCTAGAGACTCACATATTCTAATATTAACTGTAGGGAAAGAAAGGGTGGTGTGTCACAATTGGTTAATGACAAAGTAGTTATAAACAGGGTCAATATAGGTACAAGCTAAATATAAACCCCTTGTCACAGGTAAGGCCTAGTAAAATGTCAACTGCTTCTTCACTTGCATCACACTCTTTGAACCATCTAGTTGTCACACTGAATTTGCAGTCTCTCCCTAACTCTACAGGAATGGTCCTTTTGGAATCACTCCAAAATTACCAAGTACCACCACAGGTTTGTATCCTATGCCTTAAGATCCTTTCTTCTTAAAGAAATTTAGGTCATGCTTAATCAGACAGAGCAATAGTCCATCTATTCCATTTCTAGCAGAAAAGAGAAACACAGGGGCTTTGACCTGGACATCCTATGTGCTACAGTCTCAGGATTGAAACAAATGATCTGAAATAATCACCTGGGCCAAAATTTCTTAGAAACCCAACCTAGCTCATTCAGAAAGTGAACTGCCAGACATAGCTAGAGCCCAACTCTGGAAATATCAATGATAGCATTATGAGAATTACTATGACAAAAAGTGCTTCTTTGCATACCATGTGTGGACCCAGCTTCTTAATATTTCTTTTTTTTAATCTGGCTAACACCATTTGAGGGGCTTAAATCCCAATATAGCTTTGGCTCAGCATTTTCTGAAGCTGACACAAATCATAAAAGACAGAGATCCAATTTCATAAGTTACTTAGTCCATGTATGCTTGAGTGGTTTACACCAAGAGTATATTTGTGACTAGAACCCATCTTGTATTCCATTGACTATACCTTGAGCTATGTATATTGGTACCTCCTAGAGGACATGGTCCTTTGTTCTGTAGGAGATAGCCATGGTGTCCAAAATCCCTGAATCCTCCATAGCACAAATAATGAAGACATCTGAGTTCTGAGGGATTCTCTGTGGCTTCTTCTTCTTTAATATTTACCTAAACCCCACATTCAAAAATACTGGATGGAAGTAGCTATAATATTTAAGTTATAGGTTACTTTTTGGGTTTTTTCACACTGCTTATCAGAAAGTTAAATGTAGATTATATTACTGAAAAAAGGATACTTTAGTTGTTCTAAGAAAGCTTTATATTTTATTTATTTTAAACAAGTACATACTAACCTATTATCAAACATCTAATAATCTCCCTTGTAGGTCCCTTGCTTTAAGACCTACCCTTGGCAAGGTATCGTATCCTGGTCTGGGATCCTTGATTCTTCCAGTTGCTGATATGCTGGTCCTACACTCCCACCCAATCTACTTCGGGGAGAGGGTGGTGTTCTTCTGAAGGTATTCCTATACAGCATTCCACTCCTTTGTCCTGGGCTGCAGCAAGAAGAAGTACTCCTGCTGAGTTGGGAAAACACCAAAGAGATCATAATAACCTCTAAGAATTAGATCAAACATCTCAGACATTGAATTCATACCTCATATTGTTAAAGCTCTTTGCGATGAATGCCAAATATACACTATGATAAAATTACAAGTTGCTTAATTCACTTACTGTTGGAGGTGCTGGGAGTGAGAATTCCTTGTGTCTGGCTTCCTAGCTAAGACAGAAATGGGTTTAAGGGAGCCTCAGAATCCCAATTCCCTTCCACCCTGATTTCCCAAGCCATGATAGCTGTCTTCTAATTGGAATAAAAATGCCCTCATTAGGCAGTGATGAGAACTGAATACAGGAAGCCCAGAGGGGATTTATGGGAAAATTTACATTTCTTAGTGATAGGATAAACAGGCCTTACTTTAATTGGCATTCTTTCTTTCAAATATGTGTTAAATTCTCAGTTTACTGTCCTAGATTTTCATCAGTCTCCAGAAACTAGTTTTCATTTGAGTTTGCTTTTAACAAGTACTACTTAGATTTTCTTGGGTGTGGGCATCCCAACTTCCCAAATGACTGAGCATTTATAGAGAGCATAAAGGGCAAATGGCATAAGTGACCTATATCCCAGACCTTAACAAGTCTTCACGATAGTCTTATACACAGACTATGGTAAAAGAACTGGATTCTATGAAGACAAATTGACAAACTGAAGTTGGTTAAAGATTCCTAAGTGTTCCATGAGATTTCAAATCATGTGGTCCAAACAGGTCTTCATGAGCATATAGTGAGCTCAAAAATATCATGCTGTACCCACATCATCTGAAAATATCACTGCAACTATATAGGCAAGAATGAAAAATTTTCAAAAGTCAGCAGTGTAGGGAGGAAAGTTTCCCAAAGCAAATATGTGCCTATCATGTTACCATTTGGGTTTTGTCACTTTTTCCATCAATATGACTAGTATTCCTATTTTGTATATACAAAATGTTTTTAGTAGGTAGGGCATGTTAGGGAATTGCTATGTAGCTCTGACTGACCTGAAACTTGCTATGTAGACTTGAATTCACAGAGATCTATCTATCTATGCCTCCTGAGTGTTACAATTAAAAGCATGCACTGCTTTGCCTGGCAAATTTTGCAAATATTTTAACTGGGAGATGGAAAAGTTAATATCTGAGTGTTCACAACAATCTTGTTGGTTCTGTTAAGGTGGCAGGTTGACACTAATTTTTCAGTTTTGTAAAGAGAACAAATCATGTCAGTAATGATATTTTAGTTGTTAGCCATGTCATCTGCTCTAGGTTTTATTCCCAAAATGCTTAACATCTTGATCATCATATTCAGCCTCTAAGAAAACATCTTTAAGGAGCTCTTGAACAGTAAGTCTGTTTCTCTCCCTGCCACTTCTGTCTAATCCCATACGTATTAAGATCTAGGGTTTGGAGTCTTTGGCACCAGAGTGAGCTACATCTGGTCGCAAATCTCAGGCCTTGGTGCTGCTAGAATCATGATGCTAGGGAAGGCAGTTGTGACTGAATGCTGCAGGGAAATACAGCCTGTTTAACTTGGACCAGTTGAGATTAGAAGAGGCATGGTTGGTAGTCATTATTTGGGAGAAAAAAAAAATGAAGCTGCACAAGGCATTGCTGTACCTCAGGCCAATAACAATAGGAAGATACTGCTATGGAGGAGAGGGAAGGGACATTTTACAAAATGACTGCAGTGTCATAAGGACCAAGCCAGGTGGCAGGCTCTATGGCCCCGGAAGACTAAAGTGGGGCATAACTGAGACAGGAAATGACCTAATTTCTCTGGTCCTTACATCTTGCACCATTACCTCAGATAAACCAGAAGCCAGAGGACAGGGGAGTATGAAGCTTACTTCCTACAGGAGGTTTTGTAGAGAAAGTTACTTGTGTGAGAATAGGGGAGGGGACAGGCCAAAGCAAGGTTGTTTGTGGACTCACACCAGAGATGAAAGAGTACAACTACACTAAGTGTCCTGTGTGACCATCATGTGTTCTATGCATTACTGTGCCAGAACTGACAATGCACAGGCTTATCTGTGTCACTATATGCCCTGGCTCCATCTCTATTGTCAATCTATATGGATGACATTGTGAGCAAGTTAGACTACCAAAATATAATATAATAAAATGACATGCCTCAATATTTTTTTAAAACAGGTTTTTTTTTTAACTAAACATTAGAAATAAAAGTTTTGGATTCACAGCTTTGTTTCATAAATAAGGCATCTAAGGGAGTCATATTTTCAGCACACAACAAGAAATTAATTATTCATAGCTTGCTAAACTGTCAAAACAAGGTCTACCAGTGTGAAGTAGTGACCCATCTTCAAAAGCAGTTATAGACCTATTGGCCAATCAGAGAGATTCAGGTCTTCTAACCCAGGGGCATTCAGGAAATTATGGAGCATTTGGAAGGATACATAAATCAGTATACAGGTTATCAATCATGAAACTGTTTAGTCTATTGCATCTTTTAAAAAACCAAAGCTATGATGTATTAAACTACAATTTCAAGTTCTAAAAGCACTTCATAAATCAAGCCTTCCCCATCTATCAGCATACAAGCTATGCCAACAAATACTGCAGTGTCATTGAACCAACAAAACAAAGCAAAACAAAACAAAAATCAAAATGGAAGGGCTTTTAAAGACACTCCCATTTAATCTTGGAGTTCTAAGACCAAAACTAAGGATGAGTAACTGACAAAACTAACTGGACACAGTGGTGCTATAGTTCCATCATGGAAGAAGCCACCATATTAAAAAAAAAAATCTCAAATTCAAAATATTTTTGCCATAATATATTTCAGAATACTATTATACTATTTTATTTGACAGGATAGAAACTGCTCTGTCTATAGCAAACTATAGTAAACTTTAAAATAAGCCTTGGAAGATATTGTGTTGGAGAAGATATTTGCCTTTTAAGAGGTTAGAAATTTTGGACTCTGCTTCTCTAATTAAGGCAGCTTCCATGAGGTCAAGTGAAGCAAAAGACTGTTTTAACAGGAATTCTGTAAATGCAAGCTGTGACATAGCACAGACTTGCCAATAATAACTGATGCAACCACACAGATGCCAAAGTATTTCAATCCTAAATCAAAGACACTGAAATTATTTTCTTTGTCAAGTACCCTAGAATCTATCTACTAAAGAGGTATGGTAATAAGCATCACCATTAGCTACTGGAATTTAGTGTGTTCAGTATTAGAGTAACTGAAAATTGCATAGTATATGCAGTTAGCAAGTAAAGTTTTTGGTGGAAAGTAGGACATCAGTTCTTTTGTTGTACATTTCTATCTTGCTAATGTACAAGATGAATATCATCATCTATAGCTGGAAACATTTGATTCAGCTTTAAAAAGTTATATATACATACATATATGTATATATATATATATGATCTATAACATATATGTATTTTTTGTTTGGAAATATTAAAAACTGCTTAAAACTAAGAAAAGAAATATTCTGTCATTGAATAACTTTTACAGATTAAAGATACTCATTTTAGTACACACAAGCACAATGTCTATTCTAATGTTAGTTCCAAATGCATCCTTTGGTTTGAGCTGTATACCATTGATTTTTTAAAAAATTAATTCCTCATGCATAACACACAACCATGTGGATGAAAAGATGCTGGAGAACACACCCAGCTTGAGAATTTCCTGTGATGCATCAAAAGACTTTGTATCTGGCCTTCACCTCCAAAAAAATTAGTTTCTATGATCAGCTCACACACACTCAAAATCATAGAACTCCTCTGATAGCAGTATATCTTATAAGCCCAAAAGACGGCACTCTCCAGGATTTGCCTCTGGAAACTTTTCTTTTGTGAGGAACATTTGGAACACTTGGTGCATATCACATCAGCTGCCTAGAGGAGAAATAGACATGAGTTTTGCAACCAGTGACAAGAAAAAAAAAATCACAGTTTTAGTAGGTTTTCCGAGTGCAATTGCTTCATTCACTGGTCTGTGCCTGCAGCTCTGCTGAAAGCTAACAGTTCCTTTATGCTTTTGTAGAGAGTGATGTTGCTGAGAGTAACTGAGGAATTTGCTTCCTGGCTGTGGATTCCCTGAACATCACCTCCATGAATAACCTTAATTATATAGAAGCAAGAACAATCACCTCTTTTGTGGGTCTGGTTGCCATTCTCTGACATGTGTCTACTTCTAATGTGAGCTTACACACTCCCACCATGATTAGTTAACAGTACCTGTGGTGCTTGACAGGCTGGCTTCCTCGGTCAGGAGAAGGGATCTCAGGGAATGACTGGGAACTTGCAAAACTTGACTCCATTATTTTCTCCAGTGCAGTCACAGGATGCCTGTCTGCCTTTGAATACTGTAGGAAATCACATGCAGACTTGTGAGCTGTGGGTATATTATGAGAGGTGGGCTGGCAACACAAGAGCTACGAATTGAGAAGTCTCAGAATGATAAAAACACTATGCATACTCTCTCTTTCTCTCTTTCAAGTAAACGGATAACAAGAAAGGAGAACAGTTACATTTACATTTTAACTAACCCAAGAGCCCATCTCTAACCAACTAGAAGCATTTGCTTAGTCTTAGATTTACATAAAATTCAGGAATAACTTGAAAACAAAGAGCACAACTACAAGAAAGAAAAAAAGAGGAAGGAAGGAAGGAAGGAAGAAGGAAAGAAAAAGAAAGGCAGGAAGGAAGGAAGAATCCAAAAGTATATCTTGGAATGGTATAGAAATTCCTTCTAAAAATTTCATTTTTAGTCCACATGTAAAACTAAAAGACATCTAACTTCTATTTACCTGAAGGTTAGAGGTAAGATGGGAAAAGATTAAAGAAAATAAGCATGATTTTTTTTTCTTTTTGGTGCTGAGAATTGAACCTGGTACCTTGCACATGCTTTAAGATGGCACTACCCCCTCAGTCCTAGAACAGAACCAAAAAAAATCAACTGTCACTCTAGTTGCTAAAAGTAAGGAGTTATGAATGTTCATTAATTTTAGACACTGGTAGGTACCCATGTTCTATGACTATGTTATAAGAAATGTATATAATCAAGAAAAAAGAAGGAAAGAACGCATGCAACAGAAACTGTTGAAGCAAGAATATAAAGAAAGAATGGTACACCGAAGGGGGGGGACTGCTGTGATAAATATAAAAACCTCCACAACAAGGAAAATTGAATTGCTAGATCTAAACATTAAAAGGCAAGTTCACACACCAACAATAAATTCGGCTATCCAATTTCTTAAGGAGCTTATTTCTAAACATAGAAGAAATCATGAAGCAGGTGTGGTGCATGCCTGTAATTCCAGGACTTGTCAAGTTGAGGGGTGGGCCTGATGAGTTTGGGGCCAGCCTATGCTCTATAGCAAGACACATTCTCAAAAACAAAACAAACAATAATAATAATAATAATAAAAACCACAATCATGCAAGGTGGATAAAGACATTACTTGAAAATTGTGGGGCTAAAAATGTATAAAAGCAATAATATCAAGTAAAATACAATTTTGTACTTCTACACAAATTACTTTTAAAGATTGATATTTCATATAAAAGAAAACAACTCAACAAGTAATAAATATTTATATATTTTTTTTTCTATTTTAGAGCAGTTTCAAAAGTACAGAGCACAGCTAATAGCACAGCATAAAACCTTGGAGGAATTTGGGCATGTTGACAGCTTTTAGTACATGATAAACAAATACATGTAGCATTGTCTGAAGAAAAAGCATGCCATTCAGCAAGAGGTAGTGGAACAGATTTTGTAAACTTAACCATGATAGAATATTAAAGAAGAGCATACTGAAGAAGTATGTAAGTTAAGAGAATCTGTGTAGCAATAAGCATAATTATTGGTAATGAGAAAAATAGAAGATCAATGTACCTTTCAGATTTGGATGAATGAACTCTCTGAATGAGGAAACAGTTTATATGACTGATGGTGATTTGCTAATAGCCTTAATTGACAGAAGTACTTTTTACTAGGACACAACATCCAGAAATTAAAGTAGGAAAATGTTTTTATTTAATAATAACAACTAATTACTTTAAATTAAAAAAATGACTTTGAAAAACATAGGCATAAATATAAACCTGGAAAAATATTTTCTATTCCCACATAGAAATGTGTAATATTGAAAAATCTGCCCAAAACCCAAATGAAAAAAATGTGGAAGGCAGAATGTTCCCCCCCCCCAATTTGCAATCAATATGTAGTAGATTTAGAATAGAAATTAAGAGGTTAATTTCAGAGGGACATCTTGAAGCAAAACTCAGCTAACTGTTCCGGAAGAATCTTCACTTCCCAAAGTAATCATTATAAGCCAGAAACTCATTCATTTTTTAAAACAATGGATTTTCAAAACAAGACTCTTGAGCCATTAGTTTAGTCTGTTTCTGCTTGAATCCTGAAATGGGAGATCTGTCCAAAATCCTGAGTGAAATCCACCCAATAACTGGTTTTGCTTACTGCTAGTATTTATAATTCATGTCACTTGGTTAAGTAAATAAAAATTCTTTTCAAAATGTTATTTTTAGAATGTCTTTCTCTATTAGTATTTCTTTCCTATTAAGCAACAAAAGTCATGTCTGATAGGAGATGTCATTCTGTAAATATGTTTCTTTTATTGGTTAATGAATAAAGCCCTGTTGGCCGAAAGGAAAGCAAGGCAGGACTAGGAGACAAGGAGGATTCAGGGAGAGTCAGGAAGAAAGTCAACATGTAGGACCAAGAGAGCAGATCCTGACCTAACCCTCTCTCCAGTAAGCCAAGACTACATGGAAATACTTAGATTAATAGAAATGGCTTAATACTTAAGACAGAGCTAGCCAATAAGAAACACTACTAAGTGGCCAACAGCTTTATATCTAATACAGCGTCTCTGTGTGTTATTTGGGGCTGGCACAGCTCTGGGACCAGGCTGGATAGAAAACTACTTGTAACACATTTCAGATGTTGAAATGATTTTTAAAAAATTAGTGGATCTATTGGAAGGAGAAGACAACATATAAAGACAATAGGTGGTTCACTGGCTAGGGGACCTCAGTTAAGAAAATACCCCAAAAGATTGATTAATTGGGAAAGCCTGTGGTGCATTTTCTTGATTGAAGATTGATATGAGAGGACATAGCTCACTGTGGACAATACAGATCCCAAGTTGATTAAGAAAGCAGGCTTAGACAATCATGAGGATCAAGCCAGTAAGCTATGTTCCTCCATAAGCTATGTTCCTCCATGTCTTCTTCATCAGAACCTGCCTACATGTTCCTAATTGTTTGAGCTACTTCCCTGACTACATTTGAGAATGAGTTGTGATGTGCACATGTAAAAGAAAGAAAGAAACCCTTTTTCCCACAAGCTGAATTTGGCTATGGTGTTTCATTGCAGCAGTATAAACCCTAATTAAGACATTATTAACTAATATTAGAATAAAAGAATATGTATTCATCTACCCCTTTCTTTCATGAAAAAGGGGTTTCTTAGTCACTGCTCTATTGCCATGAAAAGACATCATGACCAAGGAAACTTACAAAAGAAAGCATTTAAGCTTGCTTAAAGTTTCAGAGGTTTAGTCTATCATTATCATGGCTAGAATCGTGGTGTAATGCAGGCAGATTCTAGAACAGTAGGCTGGAACAGTATGCCTGATACATGGGCAGAGAAAGAGAGAACTTGGGGCTGGCATGAGCTTTTGGAATATCAAAGCTTATCCCCAGTGACAAGCTTCCTCCAACAATGCTAAACCTACCCCAATAAGCCCATACCTTCAAATCCTTCTAATCCTTTCAAATATTCTAACTCTCTAGTTAATAAGCACTCAAATGTATGAGCCAATGGTGGCCATTCTTATTCAAACTAACGCAGGTGAGTACTTAGCACTCTTCAGTAAATAATCACTATATCATCTTGTGATTTATTATTATTCAATAATTTTTGACTGTGAAAATATACATGCATGTCACTTTGTATCTATATCATAACTAATCTACACAAATAAAAGACCATTCTCACTGCATCAGTGAGCATGGGACCCTCTAGCTGTGCAATGTATCCAAATTTCATAACTTTGTGAAAGTAATCAACCTCTTCAAAGACAAAAAATATCAAAATTTACAGGAAAATATGTAACAATAAAAGTCTTAGATTTGTTAAGTAACCAGAGCTATATTAATAATATTAATAACACTTAAGTGTCTACAGGTCTTATAAAACAATGCTAACGCTTAGTGGGTCAGATCTGTCTTACAGGTATATGATAGTGCACCTGTGGAAGGTGGCTATATTATAGCCTTAAGAAACTTTAAATGTACAGGGGTCCTAAAAATGAAGGTGAAAACTACACATAAGCACTATTTAAATGTCAAAAAATATGACATAGGTGCAATATTAACTTCTGATTCTACTGATATTTGTCCTGTGGAAGGAAAATTATGCACATGGATGGTTGTAGTGAATCCAATTTTTTTCTTAGTGCAGTTGGTGGGGGCCAGACAAAAGGTAGTGATTGATAGGTATTAAGGGAGATATCAATGTAAAGTAATGTTTAGCCAAATTTAGGTACAAAGGGTTACATTTAAAAACTATCGCTGGGTGTTCATCTGTGATCTGTTTGCCAAAAGGGCCTATAAGCAAAATCATTTCATTGCCAAGAAATACATGTAGCTCACAGATCTTGTTTTGAACATCACTCTGAAATGAAAGAGAGTTATTAGGATGAAGGCCTGATTCTATCGTTAGGATAGATTATCTACAGAATAAACAAGAAATGTCCTGTGGTGTTTAGCACAAATACTTCGAGAGCTGACCAGTTGACCGCTACTATCCAAATGACACAGGCAACTAAACTATTGGACAAAGCCAAATTACCCTGATCACATATTGAAATGGGAATTGTAAAACTGTATTTGATGAAAAAAAAAAAACAGTAATCAAACAAAATAAATCCCACTTTCTCATTTGAGTTTATCAGTTAATGATGTCAAAACTCTGAACTGCCCACATCGACAGAGCCATACCAGTGCTTATAAACTGACATGAGTAAAAAAGGAAGCTAAAGATGTGTGTTGACAATTATAGAAGCAAGGTCATTCCTGGGTGAAGCTCTAAAATAACATCAATAAATCAATAAAGAAAAAATGGCAAGATAAGAATTTTATATTTCAGTCAATTGAGGAATTCAGCAAATATACAGGTTTGTAAACATTTACCAGGATGGAGGTTTAAATTTTTTACAACTATGGCATTCCAGTGTACATTGTTAAATTAATATTTTCTGTTATGAGAAGCTAAACATATGCTACCGTATATCATATGTTTTATGTATAATTATATAATATATTTTATTAGTAGTGT